AACAACAACAACAAAGATTTACAGCTTCGGAAACCCTGTACAGGGTTGCTATGAGTCGGAACCGACTCCACTGCACTGCACATAACAACAACTACTACTGTTGCCATGTCCCACCAAAGAGGTGACCCAGATCAATATGACTGCTGTTACGGGAAGAAAGTCGCTGCTTATCGCCTTTCCAGGGCTGGTGACAAGGAGAGAACCCTGTACAGGGTCGCTATGGGTCGGAACCGACTCTACGACACATAACAACAACATCACAGTCAAAAGTACGTGTTTCTGGCCCCGCCCTTGCGGAGCGCCCAAGATGCCCGGCCCCGCCTCCACTCTCGCGAGAGCTGGTGGAAATAAAATGGCGCTGACGTGAGTGCGCGCTTGTGCATCCGAGGGAATCATCAGCACCTGTGCCAAAACCGCCTCCGCCACGGGAACAAGAAGTCGAACCGGGTCCAGGATGGTGAGCGCGGCACCGGGGACGCGGGCGTAGTGGATCGGCGGGGCGCGGCCCCGTCGTTCGCAAACACACACACACCCCTTCTATCGGCCCCGCCCCCACATCCGGGCACCCGGCCTCCTCTGGCTGCCCATCCGTCGGTCAGTGCTCTGTGCCTACTTCCGGGCCTGGGCTTCGCGTGGATCCCGCCCACATATCTTGGGCCCCGCCCCTGATCTTGATTCTTTGGGGCCCCTAGCACCTCCACATAGGACTCTGCACTGCCTGAGTCGTATCGGCGTAACCCCTTCTTCAGTATTTTTCGGCCACTCCAGAAGGTGTCCTGGTAGCACCGTGGGTTAAGCGTTGGACAGCTAACTTCAAGGTCGGCAGTTCGAACCTACCAGTCGCTGCGGGAGAAAGACTGATCAGGACAGGTTTACAGTCTCAGAAATCCTCCGTAGGGTTGCTCTGGGTTGGAATCAACTTGTTGGCAGTGGGTTTGTTGTGTTTGATTTGGGTTCATCTCTCTAGCTTCCTCCTAACTATGTCTTGTCCAGATACTCACCTTTCTAGTCTCTATCTAGCCCACTACCTAGAGGTCACGCCCCTGCTGCGTTGGGGCCCGCCCACCTGCCCAGGTTAGGGATGGAAGGTACCATTACAAGTAATGCTCAACAGGTACCCTGTCTTATGTATTTGGGGCACGTCTCAGCAACCTGCCAGTCAGGCGAGACCCAAGATGGGAGTCACCCTTATCCACTGACCCTTCTGGGTGGCAGCTGCTTAGGATGGAGGCCAATGGGATGTTGAAGTATTGAGCACAATGGTCTTGGCATGGTGGGAAAGGTCCCCTAGCTGGACAAGACCTACCCTGGACCCTGAGGGGATCCACTCGCCCCCTTTTTCCACCAGGAGGAGGAACCTGTGGGGTTCAGCCCAGACATGCCCACCACCGCGGAGCCCTGCTCCAGCGAGATGGACAGAGAACTGTCCCCAGTTGTGGTCACCGGGGCCACCGCCTCCATGGGGGAGGAGTCAGGTCCTGACCGTGCAGCCACACCCCCAGTGTGGGGACTTGGAGGATCTGGAGGGGATAGCAGCCAACCTGCCCCCGGACCCAGCCCTGGCACAGCCCCTGGGATCAGTGAGGACTTCCGGCTTCCGAGACGACGCCCGCCACCAGGTGACCTGTGGGAGGGGACCACAGACTCTGGTGTCTCCAGCCCAACTAGGGGATGGCAGCCCAGTCTCGTGGTGGGAGCAGAGGGCGGTTCCAGCCTTTTCTGTGCAGATTCCCCGGGTGGGGACTGCATCAGTGGGGAACGGACCAGTGACCCCCCCCCCTTCTGCGCATCCAGCAGGGAAGCAGGTCCCCTGCTCCAGTCCTGGCTGCTTCCTCAGTTTCCCCAGCGTGCGGGACCTGGCACAACACCTTCGGACCCACTGTCCCCCCACACAGTCCCTGGAAGGTAGCGCTGGGGCTGGGGAGGCAGGTGAGGCGGGAGGCAATCGAGCCCCCATGCCTGGACACTCATCCTTTCCTCTGCCCGCCGTCCAGGCCGGCTCTTCCGCTGTTCGGCCCCGAGCTGCACCGAGACCTTCCCCAGCATGCATGAGTTGATGGCGCACAGCAAGCTGCACTACAAGCCCAACCGCTACTTCAAGTGAGACCCCGCCACCAGGCTGCTACAGCTACTACTGGGGGTCCCAGCGTTTCTTGGCAGGGCGGGGTGGGTCTGCAGGCATGCGTGGCAGAGGGCTGTCCCTGCCTTTTCCTGACCTAGAAGACCTAACTGGCACGTCCAGGAAGAGTGGGGCGGGATCATCTGTGGGCGTGCTCTGCCCAGTCCCACCTTGACATCCCTGATGGAAATTCTGAAATTCTCAGAGCTCCTACCCGGAGGGATCTGAAAGGGTGCTGGCTAGAGTAGGGGTCGCTTAGGGCAACCAACTACGGTCCCCTCTCCTGCGGGCAAGACCTCCTGCCCGTCACCCAGCAGCCCAGCCCCGCCCTGTGTGTTCCGGTTGCTAGGTGTGAGAACTGCCTCCTACGTTTCCGCACTCACCGCTCGCTCTTCAAGCATCTGCACGTTTGCGCAGAGCATGCGCAAAGCCCAGCCCCACCGCCACCCCCTGCACTGGACAAGGAGCCGCCGGCACCTGAGCGCCCCCCAGAGGCCGACCCCGTGTCTGGGCCAGGCCTGCAGCTTCCCATGCTGGAGCCCTTCACAAACCCTGCCCCGACCCCCACTGGGCCCTTCCTGCCCTACTTGAACACAGCGCCCTTTGGTATAAGCCCCCCACGCCTGCGCCCCTTCCTGGCCACCACGCCCGGGCCACCCGCTTCCAGCGCTGCCGTCTGGAAAAAGAGTCAAGGTAAGTGGGGGAACGGGAGAGGGACGGCTGAGTCGCTTGAGGGAGCCGAGCCGGCTCACCTGACACCCGGCATTGACCTGCCCTTTCACTGCAGGTACGGGCGGCAGCCCCCGGAGACCCCAGGGCAGCGCTGAAGCACCCTCAGGTGCGTGCAGGTGATCTCCAGGGAGGGGTGGAGGGGCGTTCCTGCGACCAGCTGGGACAGGTGGATGCTGGGGGAGCAGCGGTTTCAGCCCCCTTCTCCTGTAGCCAGCAACACCCCCAAAATACAGGCTTGTGCCCTTAAATTTCCTGACACCTGCGCCTTCATCCGCGCCGGCTGTTTCTCAAAAACCTCGCGCCCTGTTCGCGCCGGGGGTGGGAATGGGCTCCAGCAAGCCACGTTGAGAGTCCCCAGTCCCGAGGAAACGGGCCTGGCAAGCTGATCCTGCACGATGTGACTCTCGGCGCCCAGGCCCCTTCCGGTGCAGCTACTGACGCTGGGTGCGGAGGGGATGCGGGCAGGGATCCCAGGACTGATGGCCCACCCGCCTGCAGGGCACGCGGCCACAAGCCGCATCGTGTGGGAGCACACACGTGGCCGCTACTCGTGCATGCAGTGCGCCTTCTCCACGGCCTCACGGCCCGCCATGACGCTACACCTGGAGGACCACCGGCCCCACGGCCCTACGGCCCCGGTGGCCGGGCCGCCCTGCCCCGACGGTCGGGCGGGTAAGGCCGCTGACTGCGTGTGCGGGGAGGGCACGGGGCCAGAGGCACGGGCTTAGACTCAGGCATCCCCCTCCTCTTCCCGCCCCAGACCCGGTCCCGCTTGTACCCAACGTGTTGCCGTCGCCACCGCCGCCGCCACCGCCGTCGGAGGGGGAGCGTCCGGTGTTCTTGCCGCTCTGAACCCGGCCACACTGGGGGTGGGGTGCAGTGAGTAGTTTTGTAACGGGTACAATAAAGGAACCGCTGTGAGCCGGCACGTGTCTAGGTCCCTTGCCCCTCTGGTTCCAGGGTGCTCACAACCTTGGGAGGGATCCCCTAGAGGGGGAGCTGTGAGCACAAGATCACAGCCCATCCTGTAACCAAGCCGATGCCGCCGGGAGCCACCCCAGCCTGTACCCTCGGTCCAGTCCCACTGCTTACAGAAACCAGACTGGACTGCTATTTCCAATTTTGTTTTCAAAACTCCCAGGAATCAGAGGGCAGGTTTGGGAGGCTGGCCCTGAGAAAATGCCCAGTGGGTCCAACGGGACTCAGAGAGGTAGCCCCCTTAAGGCAGTCCTGACAGGGCTGGGGGTTTCAGGCCTCTTCCTCTTCTCCCTCTGCCTGACCTCCCTCCAATCCTTGCTTCCCCCAGCCAGAGAGGCAGCCCTCTTTTTCTCCTTTGTGGGAGGCCAAGTTGGGGTGCCGGCTGCTTCGCCTTCACCTGAGCCCAGCTGGCAGTGCCATGTTCACAACTGCCCACCTCTTGGGGTTGATTTCACCTCCTGCTTCTTGCTTCCTCCCGCAGCACCCCAGGACCCCTCTTTTCCCCAGTTGAAGGCCACTGGAAACACAGAACTTAATTCTAAAGACAGATCCAACTGTGTCTGTCCCCTGGCCAGGGCCCTTCAGTGGCACCCTAGCCTTGTAGATGAAGATTCTGTCTTCACAGTAGCCAGGGTCCTATCTCAGGCCTTTCCACCCCTCCAGACGCACTCACCTTCTCCCTGCCAATCTCCTAGTTCTGTGTATACCTGTAAGGGTGAACCCCACCACCTCCTTGGCCCCTCCCCTCCTCCTCTGTATCTTGCTCTCTCGAGCTGTCCTCATCACAAGTCATGCTCAACAACCCTCAGTGTCCGGACACCAAAGCCCCACTCACCCCTCCCTGGGCCAGGTCTACAGCCCCTTCAGCAGCCTCACCCCTTCTTGTCCCCATCTTCCTCCCCTGACATTTCAGCCTCATGCCTCAAGGTCCCAAGTTGTCCAGACCAGCTAAGGGCAGGTCATATACCTGCTCTCCACAGTGCAGGGGTGGCGTTAGCATGCAGCTCACAGTCCCGGCTCTGTAGCCCCAGAGAAGAAGGGGAATCTGGGAACCCCTAGCACCCATCTGCCTGCTGGGCTTCAGGGCTGTTATTTGTGGGGTGTGGTGGCCACTCAGCTTTGGGAATGAGTCTCCGGGTGCACTCACTCTTCTGGTACTCCCAGACCCCCCTACCCCCCTAGGTGACTGTTGCTTAGCTGTGACTTAGGAGAAGGCCACCCCCACCCCGCTTTCCTTGTCCCTGGATTGGTGTGAGATTCTCAGCCCCTGGGGTGCTGGGGAGGGTGAGCTGAAGGAGTTTGAGAGATGACTGAGGGTAGGTGATCCCTCCCACTGGAGCCCATTTGGCAGAGCTGAAAGGTAAGACTAGGGGAGCTAAGGTGACAGCCCCTCATCTAGTCAGTGTGACTCAGGCTGGTCGCAAAAGGCCAAGCAGAAAGCGTGTGGGGCACCCTCCCAAATGCGGCTGTAGTCCTGAGTTCTCCCTCACCTCTGCTTTCAACCCCTTTCTTTGGAGACGCCACATGTAACAGTAGAACTGTGCTCCGTAGAGTTTTCTTGACTGCAATCTTGACGGATCAGTAGCTCTCTTCTGTCCTAAACGTGGTTGGAACCACCAACCTTGAGCTTAGCTGCAGCGCTACACCAGGACTCAACATGATTGATAGTTGTTGGCTAAATGATTATCATTTCATTACTGTTTTTCCATCACCTGCACCCAACCCTTCAATGTCCCCTAAAGAAAACCACGCCCACTACCATCTAATCAGTTCTGGCCATCTAAGCAGCCATCTGTAGGGAGTCCTGGTGTGGCCCTGTAGAATAAACACTGGAATGCTAACCAAAAGGTAGGCTGTTCAAACCCACCAGTTGCTCCTGAGAAACTTGAGTCGGAACCTACTCAACGGCACTTAACAGTAAAAACTGTCCACTCCCAAATCTAGGTAACATCACTTCCCAAACAATCCGGTACCACCTTTTTAGAGAGACCCCAAGGACAAGGTCGTCCCCCCCCCATCCCAGAGCCTTTCTCCCATATAGGGGGCTCCCTCAGCTGCTCCCTGGATCACGGTGGAACTGTCTCAGACCTTGGTAGCAAGTCAGGATCTCACTTTGACCAACCACTGTGTTGAGGGGAGATCCAAAAACTACCTCAACACTCACAGTAAACTTTTATGTGCTCTCCTCTGGGAAGCCTTCAACCTGGCTCACTGTCTAGCTAAACAGGGACCCACAGAGGTCTCGCCCAACTCCAGGGCCCCAGGCAAGTCCTGGTGAGGAGTCTGCCCACAGAGAGAATGACTGGGAAGGGCTAGTGGATCTCTGCCCTGCTGGGCACCTATGGGAGCAGGTTAACCAATAGGGTCACAGTGCTGCGGCTGAGGCTGGCCAGCTGCCCACCCTCTAACCAGCATCTGTCCGGTACCAGGTCTATCACCTTTAGGTATCAGTGTGGTGACTGTCACCTTGAGCACTGGGAGGTAGAGGATGCTGGATGGCTATATCCGGACTCCCACCCAAGGACCCAGTGCCTGCCTGTCAGCCCCCATCCAGGCCTGCTGCCACCCCTAAGCTCAGACCACATGTGACTGTGCCCAGCCCTGGGCAACCAAGCACACCAGCTTCAACTCTCCACTCACTCGGCCCTCCAGACATCTCAATTTCCAGGCCAGCCCCTTCCCTGCCCGCAGGGCTCTGCGTTTTCACTCCAGCAAAGCCCGGCTCCCTAAAGCAGACTCCCGTACTCCACTTCTACAGCTCCAAGCCAAGTGGCTTGTGTCTGTCTGTCTGGCCTTTTGGACCCAACCGCAGGTCCAAACTCACAAAGGCCAGTTGAGGGGGGCATGCGCCCCCTAGCGGCTATGCCAGGATCTCACGCTCACTGCCATACCCCTCCACCGCCAGCTGTGCGCACTGCCCACTGGTGTCATCAGCTTTCTCTGACCTTAATTGAACATTTACTGGACGTTCTGGGTCAATAATTGTTTGTTCTCATTCTCGTAGTGTCCCTTCAACTACCAAATGCTCCTTGCGGTATTCTTGTGGCCAGCCTCCACTCATTGAAGCTGGAGACCCAGAGGACCTTCTGGGGTCTGTCAGATGGGTCCCCACACCTGAAAAAAATGGTTTGGGGGTCCCAGTATCCTAAAGAGGTGGTCTTAAAGCAGACACAATAACTAAGAGTGCTGTGGATGAATGCAAGCCTGCCTTCCCTATCTCCACTGAGCCTGTCTTCAGAACACTCCAAAAACTTGCCCATGGTCCTGGCATCACCTGGGGACTGGGGTAAGCACAGGACTGCAAGGTCGGATCAAACCAATAGGTCAGTGACTCAAACTCAACAGTCACTCCTGAGAACAACCCTATACTGGGTGGGTCTGTATGAGTCAGAACAGACTTGGCACTTAACAACAATGTATTTTACACATTAGAATCATCCCTTCAGGTTCTCAAAACGTCCTCGGACCCAGGCCACAGGGAGCTGGGTGGTACAAGCAGTGAAATGTCTGACTGGCAGCTCAAACCCACCCCAAAGTGCTTCAGAAGAAAGGCCTGGCTATCTACTTGTAAAAGTCACAGTCTTGGAAACCCTATAGAGCTCATTTCTACTCTGCACGCATAGAGTCGCCATGAGTTATGGTTGATTTGACCAACAACTAACCTAAAGGTTGATGGTTCAAAGCCACCCACACAGTGCCATGGAAGAAAGACCTGGAAATCTACTTTAATAAAGCTTGCAGCCAAGCAAAGCCTGTGGAACTGCTCAGCTCCCATGAGCTGGGATGAAATGGAGAACAATTAGCAAGAAGAAGGCAGGCCACATCCAAACCAAGGAAGACAGAATTCACGAGGCAAAAGGACCTCCCACGAGAGGTCAGCGCCCACCCTTATCAGACTGCCTCTATCCCCTCTAGTTCCTTCTTTCCACATCTCCAACCTTGGTGGGGGTTGCCCTCAGACCCCTACCCTTCCCATGGTGCAGGGCATCTGACCCCATCTACTGCCACCACCAAATCTGCCACCCAGCCCAGGGCAGCGCCAGCCCTCTGGCCTCTTGAAATCTAATAAGGAAGTCGCTGTGTGCTGGGAAGAGGCCGGCAGGGAAGTGTTGACATGAGGAAGGAGAGTGAGGTAAGGAGAGAAATCATGGGACCTCAGCCAGCACCCCCACCCCGCCAGCCTGCCAGTACCTCCCCAGGAACCACGAAACTCCAACTGTGTCTTCCACCTCTCCCACTTGGGATGCCACTTCCCCCAGAGTCTAACACATAGGACATGGCAGGGCCCAGCCGCGGAGGACAGCCAAGTCACAAAGCTAGGGCTGCTACTGGACACATGCTGCTGTCCAGACTTGAAGCTTCAGGACAGGAACTCAAGGGGACAGAAATGCCCGCAGACTAGGGCGGTTCCCACCTCCTTTCCTTCCTCCTCTGTCCTCCCCCCATCCCTGCCCCTCCTCCATGACCAGCAGCCCCCACTCCCAAGCAAAAGCCACTGTCATTTCCTGAAGGCCGCAGTCCACCCCGAGGCTCTCCACTCCTGAAACCGGCTCTCTGCTGCCTACCGCTCCCACAGGTGTGGGGCTGCCATGGTGAGTGTCAGACCCCTGGAAGGGCCCCCAGGTAGGAAGCTGGGCTGTGACTGCAAGGAGGACCAACCGCTCCCTCGCCCCAGTCAGCATAATCAGCAACCAGGTCATCGGAGGCTGGGTGAGAGGAGCTTCCTGTAGGGTGACAAAGTAGGTCACACATCCCTGTCTCCCTGTCACTGTGGACCCTGACTTACGGGGCTCTGTGGTCACTTGGGAGCCCTGACCCCAGCCCACCCAGCAAGGGACTTGACTTTTCCCAGGAACAGAGAGAATGATGCAGCGTAAAGTCAAGACCAAGCCAGACCCCCTTCCCCCTCAATCCTACACTCTCCCCCAACCTTCCTGACCCCCAGGAAGTCAGGCTCATGGGACACCTGGCACAAAGGCACCTCGGGAGGAATTTAGAGGTCAGAGAGCGCATGCCCTACCTGTCGCCAGCACCCTCTTGGCTATGTTGGGTTGTGGGGGGCCAGGGAAGGGTGCCCGAGGCACACTGTCATGTCTGAAAGCCGTGTGCCCACGCTTGCCCCAAGCTTGTGTGTCCCTTTGCACATGTCTCTCTGACCATCAGACAGTACATCACAAGAAGATGCCTTGGTGCCTCTACTTAATAGCTGTGACAAGCACTGGGGAAAAGCCTGGTGGCATTTCCATTCTATCAGGGGTGGAGGATGTGGGTAGAGACAAAAAACAAACAACTGTGGGGACATATAGAAAAAACTGATATGCTTGTGTATATAAAATAAATAACAGTGTGATGGGTGATGATTACACTAAGGGGAACAATTCAATAGGGTCGTGCTGAAGAGCCAAAAATCTGGTGCATGGAGTCAGTTCTGACTCACGGATAATCCCCATGGGTGTCAGAGTAGAACTATGCCCTATAGCACATTCAATGACTGATTTTCCAGTAGACAGCCAGACCTTTCTTCCCAGGGACTTCTGGGTGGACTCGAACTACCAACCTTTGGTTTGGCCACCAAGTACATGAACTGTTTAGACCATCCAGGAAGTCAAAGAGTTGCCATTGAGTTAGGTTCAGCTCACAGTGACCCCATGTGTCTCAGAGCACAGCTGTGCTCTAGTTTCCAATGGCTGATCTCTCTGACCTAGATCCCCAGGCCTTTCTGATGAGGTGCCTCTGGGTGAATTTGAACCACCGATCTTTCCGTTGGTAACTGATCATCTAACCATTTGAGTCACCTGGGGAACTTGGTACTAGGATAGATGGGGGTAGGGATGGGGGGTAATGCCATGGCAACCTACAGGGCAAAACAGGATTGCTCCTGTCCAAAGGGTTTTGGAGACCATAAATCTTTATCAGAGTGGTTGGTGGATTTACACCCCCAACCTTTAGGTTAGCAGTCCAATGCTTACCCTACAATAACACCAGGCCTCCTTAGCATTGGGGCCCAAGTCCAAAAGCTCACTGCTGTCAAGTCAATTCCCACTCAGAGTGACCCTATGTAGGTCTTCTGCAATTGCAAATCTTTACAAGAGCCGAAAGCCTACCTTTCCCCCACAAAGAATTGGTGGCTTTGCAGTTCGCAACCCAATGAGTAACCCACTAGGCCACCAGAGCTCCTTAGTACTGAGGAGGGAAACCAATGGACAAGCAGAGTGCTGGGAGGTCTGCTAAGGGAATACTGTTGGAGGGTGAGGAGAGAACCAGGTGGTGGGGAGGGATGTGAAGGGTCTCGGGCTTCTCAGGCACTTGAGAGGGAAAGGGGCAGATCTAATGTCTCTGGCATTCGCTGAGGACTTGAGGAAGCCCAGCAGGATTACGGCAATGGTTGAAGGACCTAAGGGGCTCCTTGTGGCTCCTGCAGGATTGGGGACAGACCCAATGGTGTAGGAAGGGCAAGTGGTAGTGGAGGAGTGAGGGGGTGAGTAATTAGATTCCCGATGCCTTTGGAAGTTGAAGCAGAAGGGAAACAAGATGTAGGAAGAAGACATCCTCTCTGAGGGAGACCAGGTCCTGTCGATGAGACAGAGAAAGGAATACAGTTACAGGAACCTGTGGCTCAGGGAAGTTCAGCAGCTGCTAGCTGAAGGGTTCAAACCCACCCAAGGGCTGGCAATCTGGTCCCAAAAGATCACCCTTGAAAACCCCATGAAGCACACATGGGATTGTCAGAGCAAAAGTTTGGGGCTGGGGGTGGGGTGGGGTCGGGGGCTTGAAAGAGGCAAGGTCCAAGCTTGAGGTGTCTATGACTGTGGTTTAGAGTCTCCACCTGACAGGCCCTATATCCCGTAGGAAGGCCATCAGGACTTTCGGAGCCTCCAAGCAAAGTTCCAGGCCTCTCAGCCTGAGCCCAGTGAACACCCCAGAAAACCCCCGAAACCTGAGTTCAACAAACTGCCAAAGAAGTTTCCACAGCCTGAGTCAGACGAGCACTCCAGGAAGTTTTTGCAGTCTGAGCTCAGCGCAGCCCCCAAAAAGCTCCCGCAGCCCGAGTTCAGTGCAGCCCCCAAGAAGCCCGCACAACCTGAAATCAGTGAGCAACCCAGGAAGCCCCCACAGCCTGCATTCAATGAATACCCCAGGAAACCCCCGCAGCCTGAGTTCAGTGCAGCGCACAAGAAGTTCCAACCGCTTGAGGCCTGTCCATTGCCCAAAAAGCTCCCACAGCCTGAATTCATCAAGGCTCCTCAGAAGCCCCCAAAGCTCGAGCCCAGCAATCCCACCAGGTCACCCTCAGAGCCCAAGTCTGGTGGGTTCCCCAAGAAGCTCTGGCCACCCGAGCCCAGTGAGGCCACCCTGAAGCCCTCTCAGGCCGAGTTAGGGGCTTTTCCCAAGAAGCCCCCGCAGGCCGAGCTCGAAGCCTTTCCCAAGAAGCTGTCCCAGCCAGAGTCAGGCACACAGCTCTGGAAGACCCCGCAGCCTCAGGTCGGTGGGCTCTCTAAGAAACCCCCGCAGCCTGAGTTCAGTGAGGGCCCAGAGACACCATCCTTGAGACCGGAGCCCAGTGAGCCCCACTGTCACCCCCACCCCCCCAAGTCTGAGCTGGATGCATTTCCCAAAAGGGGTCTGCCACCTCAGCTGGCAGAGCGCCCCAGGAAGCCGGTGCAGGCAGAGTTTGGTGACCTCACCAGGACAGCCTCGGAGCCGGAGTTCGCTGTGTTTCCCAAGAGGCCGAGGCCACCTGAGCCCAAGAAGGCCCCTCAGGTCGAGCTGGGTTCCCTGCCGAAGACCACTTCAGAGTCTGAATTCAGCTCCCTGCCCAGGAAGTTCCCACTGTCCGAGGGCCACAGGCTGCCCCGCAAGTTCTCACAGCCAGCCGAGTTCTTCAATGACCTACCTTGGAAGCCCCCACTGCCCAACTCAGTCTCAGAGAGCTCGCTGCCCACGGCCACAGGGGGCCCCAGCGCCAGGTTCCCACTCAGTCCGGGCTTCAGAACCCGCCCCACAGGACAGCGGCGGCCAGGGGCCCTCGTTCACAGTGGAGGCAGGAGGCTGGGCCTGGGACCTGGCCACCCACCCCGGCGCAGGTCTCTGCCTCCTGCCAGCAGCCTGGGACCTCCTCCTCCAAAGCCCCCACTGCCCCCAGGCCCCCCGGACATCCAGAGCTTTCGGAAACCCTCAACTACAGGTGGGTTGAGCTGTTGTGGGCAGGAGGCGGCTAGGGCTGTGGGCAGGCAGGTGGGCGACCTCTTCCCCTCTCCTCTCCCTATAGCCCTGCATCGGAGCCACTCCTCTGCTAGCATCCACTTCTGGATCCACCAGCGTGAAGCCAGCCCGAAGTGAGTGTAGACACTCGGGGTTGAGGGTGGAGATGGATGGTGGACTTGGCCCTCAGCTCGTATGTCCTCCCAGGGACCCGGACCAAATCTATGAACTTTATGACGACGTGGAGACAGAGGAAGCAAGCCCAAGCCCCAGGAGCAGAGGTGCGTGTGGCCAGGGCTCCTCCCTGTGGACTGGGGAGAGAGCAGCAGCAGGTCTCTCAGCCTCCCCAAGTTGGGAAACAAAGATGCAGGTTCTACTTTAGACCTGCTGTGTGTCTGGGGCCTGAGCGATGACCAGGCTGGACCTGGACCTGGGACTTAGAGGCTGTGGTGGGAGGAGGGCTGCAGTCCTGCCCCGTATGCACTCCCAGTCCCCTCCTTCCTGGATGCAGTCAGCTTTAGTCTCTCCTTCCAAGTCTCTCTCGTTCCCAGCTAGCACATTCCCAAGGCAATTTGGGAAGGAGTCTTGTTAGTGGAAAGGTTGAATGTTCGGCTGTTAACTGAAGAGTCAGCAGTTCAAACCCACCCAGTCATTCCTCAGGAGAAAGATCAGCTTCTGTAAAAGTTCAAAGCCTAGGAAACCTAATGGGGCAGTTGGGATCCGCTCAATGGCAATGTGGGTTTTGTCTTTTTGTTTTGTTGTGAATTATGTGATAGTTTACATGGGAGAACATTAGATTTACATTCATCCTATCATATATAATTTCATTGCCATGTTACAATCCCCTCCATGCATCATCAACCAACCAAAGGGTATACACTGCAAGCCTGCCCCCTGGTCATCAGCACACAGCCCCTCTCCCTCTCTGTGTCTAAAGTCTCCAGCTGCTCCATCACTCCACATCATCATCTCTGCTTCCATCTCAGGCATCACTGCTTCTCTGGGTAGGGTCCCGCTCTCTGCTCTTCTCCCTTGATGGTCCTAGGGACCTCCGCTCCCTAGACTGAAATGTTAATCACTCCCTTCCTTGCTATAAAACGTCTACCTTTACATTTCCAACCCTCACAATCAGTCCTGACAACAATTATTCACTGTTGTATCACAAGAGACCCGTCTGCATTTCATTTCATCAGCCCCGCCTAGTCAGATTGGATACTACTCACTGAAGATTCTACCTTCCTCCATGCCCCCTGGCTCTAAGTTCCCTCTTGAAAACTTGTAAGCCAGTCACTTCTTGCCTTTGTACACCCTCCCTCCCCCCATTTTGGGTAGCCAATGTCCAAGTTGCCCATCCCTGTCCTTTCCATGTGTGGAGGGGGTGGGAATGATCCTTGCTGTAAAGATTTGTTCCTTCTTTTGAGTTACTGCATCCATAGGTGTAGGTCAAGTTCATCAAATTGTATCAGATTACTTTTTTTTTTCTCCCTCTTCTGTCTTCTAGTTGAGCTCTGATCATCCAATCATTGAAGCCAGGTCAAGTGGGTATTATCTGCAAGTGTGGGTGTTCTCGTGTGGCTATGTGTTTTAATGGGTTGTTAATTGGCAGGAAATTGATCCCAACTCATTGTGGTCCCATAGGGTTTCCTAGTGTGTAGTCTTTGCAGGAGCAGGCTACCAGGTCTTTCTCCTGTGGAGCAGCTGCATGGGTTTGAACCGCCAATCTTTCAGTTCGCAACCAAAGACATTAACCATTATATTACTATGGTGCCTTCTCAAGTCAGTATCAGTCCCATTTTACAAATATGTAAGCTTGAGGGTCTGCAGAATGATGGCTGGTCGGCAGGACCACCTGTGCTCTCAGGCCCCCTCCCCTCTTCATGCCTTTCCTCTGGGTCTCCCTACAGTCCTTGGAGCGCTACTGCTCTCTCCCCACCAGCCTATGGTTTTGGCCCAGAGCAGGTGCCCACCCCACATTGGTTACCCCTCCTTGGCCCCTTCTGCTGCTCCCAAGCTCCCCCAGGAGCTACTTACGACACCCTGTTAACACACAGCTTCCTGGCAGGGTTTCTCCTGCTTCCGCGGCCCTGGAGGCTGTGGCTTGGGCCTAGGGGCCCGCTCTTGGGGATGTGGACTTCACCTCTCCTCTGTTGGTTTGTCTGCCCATGGGAGGTGTGCATGGGAGGGGAGTGACAAAACCAGTGTAGAACAGGACCTTCCAGAACAAGACAATCCGAGTCTGCAGTCCAACCAGTAAACCATGTTATTTGTCTCTGGGCTGGCCCCAGGGGCCCGGAAGAATCCAGTCTGTGACGTGGCTTTTCCTGACCTTGCCATTAGATGTCTGGGCAGCAGAGTGCGGGTAGAGAGGCTGGAGGGTTTCTTAGCATTCTTCAGGGTGTCCAGTCCAACCTGTGGTCACAGTACTGGGGTGGACACATCCCACACTGTCGTTTGGTGGCCCCGAGTGAGGTTCATGGGGAGCAGTTGGGTGGAAGAGGTTAATTGTGTCTAAGCCTTGGTACCGATCGCCAGCCATACTGACAGCAGTGCTTAATCGTTCTGGGGATGAGACCACGGAGAGCTGGGTGCCCAGTGGACCAGCCAGCAGCCTCTAGGGAGTGCTTTCCCCAGGTCTCATTACAATTCCCAGAATGCAACCTGTTTTAGGGGCAGACAAAAGCCTGCAGCGAATTCCTGTCCCAACCACTTGGCTGCTGTGCACCCTTGGGCAGGTTGCTTTGTCTGTCTGAGCTTTGCCTCCCAGAGATGGAAAAGGGAGTTCACCATCTGCTGCTGTTAAGAGAAAGCACTGGACCATAGCAGGAGATAAGAAAACACGAATCAGTTCATCAGAACTGATGACCCCCAAGAGAGGCTTTGAAGAAGCATGGGGGCTGGCAGGCAGTGTATGGCTCCAGGTTCTGGGGAACCCCCACTCTGACTGGGTCTCTCTCTCCCTAGATGCAGTACCAGCTCCACAGCAGGTCACCACGAGACCCTCACAGGCCCCATCAGAGCTCAGGTAGTCCAGTCCCAGGAGTGCCATAGGGCAGGGCAGGGGGATCGTGGGATTGAGAGGAACCTGTCTTGCTCAAAGCATCCCATTCCTTGGGAGGGTCTATCAGGAAGGAGAAGGGCCCCAAGCCACAGCAGGCGTCGCCTGTGGTGCCGCCCACGGACCTGAAAACCCTGAAGCAGATGAAAAAGGCCGAGAAAGCAGAGCGGGAGTTCCGGAAGAAGTTCAAGGTTTGGAGCCTAAGCCCAGCTACCTCCTGGGAAGCCCATCCCCAGGGTGGCACCAGTGCTGGCAGAGCCCTAACACCTGCCCCTGTCCCAGTTTGAGGGGGAGATTGTGATTCACACGAAGATGATGATTGACCCCAACGCCAAGACACGCCGTGGGGGTGGCAAACATCTGGGGATCCGGCGTGGGGAAATCCTGGAAGTGATTGAGTTCACCAGCCCAGATGAGATGCTGTGCCGGGACACCAAGGGCAAGTGTGAGTGAGCCAGCCGCTGGGGGCGGGCACAGAGGGCGTGGGCACCCCTCACCTCCGCCTGCTCTCTTCACAGATGGCTACGTGCCCAGGACAGCTCTGCTCCCCCTGTGAGTGCTGGCCCGGTGGGGTGGTGGGGTGGTGGTGCCACAGCAGGGAAGGCCCTGGCTGACCCCATTGTACTCTCTGCCAGGGAAACGGAGGTGTATGATGACGTCGGCTTCGGCTTCTAGGGTACGTAGGTGCTCAGGGCGGGTGGGATGGATGACAGTGCTGGGGGAGGGTTCACTGGAGGCCACTCTTCCTCTGCAGACCCTTTGGAAAGCCAGCCAACAAGGCCACCAACCAGCCACCCTGGCAGCATTGACTCCAGCTCAACGGCAGACGCTGCCCACATACAGACCACATAAAGTCCTCTGAAACCGAGTCCAGTTTTGTGTCTTTCCTTTCCCTGCCTGTGGGGAGCACGGTGGTCAGACTGCCTGGGGTTCTATGCGGTCACATTGGCTACTCTCCGGACCCCATTCCTTTGGGAGGAAGAGAAGCAGCAGCTGTCCCCCAGACTTTGAGATCTCTTTGCCCAGACCCAGGAGCGGAGTGAGAGGAAGAAGACGGCTTACTATGAACTGCCACCCACCCAGGAGCAGCAGGCCCAGACATGTGCACTTGGATGGCTCCGATTCTGCCAGCGCCTGACCAAACAGAACACACACCAGGCCCTCATCCTACTCCAGGTCTCAACAAATGAAAAGTCTGGCTGGAAGTAAGATCCCAACGTGAGGGGACAAGGAGACTCCAAACCCCCGAGGACCTTACCCTCACACTGAAGACTGAAACCACAGCTACTCATTCATGGAGTCGTGGGGACAAGCTTACAAAACTCCAAGGGCAGAGAGGAGACAGGGCTCAAGCTCCCAGCCTCAGATGGCGGCCCCACCACACACACACAGACGAGCTTCAGGAACTGGTATTTATTATCAAAGTCATATTCGGTGTCAACAAGATGCCACAACTACAAAAAAAATTGCACACATTGCAATCTCAAATGCAAACAGTCAAATGGAACCCCAGTCATTAAAAAAGTAATTCCAATCACCCCCAGAAAGCAACTGAAGTTTTTAAACATCTTTATACATCCAGCCAACAAAGTAAAATGGTTAACAAGAAAAAATACAAATTCAGAGGTCTGGTCTTGATGTTTAAAAAAGGCAACTGCTTAAGCATTTCTATCAATTCGAACATCAATCTCTCGGCCACTCAGCTTCATCCCATTCATCATCCGGCAAGCCCGCTCGGCCACCTCGGGTGACTCAAACTTGACCACACCGCAGCCCTTGGACTTCCCGTTCTCCATCTTGATGTCGGCGTACAGTACATGGCCTGGACACAGAATAAGAAAGCACAGCCTGTGAGTTCCATGACTTGGGATGACAGGGTCAGCAGGAAGGCAGCCCTTGAGCCCAGAGTGTGACTGCTCAGGCCTGCTGCCCTGTCACCCTTCTGCCCAGAGAACCACTGGATGGGACCCCACGAGGGGCCTTTCTGATGGCTGCAGGACCACTTAACCTAAACGTTAATAGTAAGGGGCCCATGAAGGCAGACACCCCCCACACGCCAATCCAATCTAGAAAACCATGCACTGCAGGCAACCTGGCTACAGGCAGAAAGCAGTGTGGACAAACCCCTGCCACCTCTAGAACCATGAACCAGTCTGCCTGGGAGAGAGCTCCGAAGTTACCCAGAAGATCCCTGCTGAGGCCAGCATGCCCACCAGCAGTGTGTGTGTGTGGAGCAGCACTCAGTTAGGGTGCCAGGACAGGAAAGTTTGGACTTGCCCTTCAAGACAGAGGGCTCTCCCAGGTGCTTGGGTAAATGGCAGGGTTCAATGTGACTTCAGGCATATCTGGCCATAATGGGGGATAAGCTCAACTGTTTACCCCAAGAGAAGAACTAGGGAGTCACAGTCATAGTGGTGAAACCTGAGCCACCACAGAAATGGGATATGAGAAGACGAGTTAGTCCAGGTCCAGCCAGCACCCCCAGTAGCCCTGGCTTAGGGCGAGGTGGATATGGGTAGAACCCAGTGACCCTTACAACAAGGGGAGAGAGTGGACCAGGAGCGAAACCAGAATCACTAGATCAAATGTTCACATAGGTTGCCACAGGCACTGAGCTAACGGGCCTCCCCTTTGACACAGGTCAAGTGTGTAAGCGCTCTTGGGGGCACTGACCCACTGGCCCTGTCTTGGGTGTTCAGTCAGCTTTGCTACTTAGAGCTCATGCAACCATTGCAACACCACCCTGCCTGACGCCTCTGGACAGTAGTGTCGCCCCACCTCATTTCGGAGCCCACAGCCTTGAACCACGGACCACGAAAGGTAATGACACACACAGGTCAGTGTCTCCTCAACACAAAACAGGAAATGTAATACAAATGGCAGTGCCCATTCACCCTCTGGATGATGGGAAGTGGCCATGCTGGGTAGAGCAGGGGAGCCAATGCTGGACTTGGTTAAGGTATTACCACCACCTTAGGTGGACAAAGATACAAACAGAAAGCATCTAGAGAGCCCTCAGCACTTACCACACTCGTTGAATTTGTCTTTTAGCATTTTCCATGTAAAATCAAATGGGAGCTGGAGAGAAAAAAAGACTAATGTGAGATTGCACCAAAGCCCACAGGTAGAAGTTACAGTGCCCTCTGGGGACGACTTCCAGAATCCGGATTACAGACTATCTGCATGACAAGCAGCAGAGCACACAGCAGGCCTATGTGGCTAGCTGGCTTAGACTGCAGCAAGCAGGCAATGAAGGGAGTCTCAAGGAGCCACCCTCAGAGCCTCTAACAGTGGCCAACTTAGTCCCAAAATTCAGTGAACAGCCATTTTGTAGAAACTCTTTCAAATCCAGGCTCGAGAAACTATGAGTGTCGGCTCATCCTAGCATGTCAGGGAGGTCTGCACTGCAACTGCTCTTGGGGTACCCCTCTCCCCACTGTGCTACGCACACCAACCATCCCACAGGAGACCCACTTACGTTTCTCACAAAGATCTGGCAGGCCTTCCGGGCCACTCCAGGGGCATGGCCTCCGGCTCCACCAAAGGAACCAGCAAAGCTTCCTCCAAAGTTGCCACGCTCCATCTCGATGGCGCGGTCAAAGCTGGCGCCACCACCGCCACCCATGGCCAGGCCCATGCGCTCGATGCCAGCGCCCAGGGCAGGGCCCATGGCGGGGCCCATGCGCTCCAGGCTGTTGGCGCCCATGCGCTCCAGGCCCATGCGCTCCAGACTGTTGGCGCCCATGCGCTCCAGGCCTATGCGCTCCAGGTTGTTGGCGCCCATGCGCTCTAGGCCAGTGGCCATGCGATCCATCACAGGGCCCATGCGCTCCAGGCCAGCCCCTATGCCTGCGGGCACCATGCGCTCCATGCTCAGACCCATGCGCTCGATGGCAGGGCCCATCCGCTCCACACCAGAGCCCATGCGCTCAATGGTCTGGCCTACACGGTCGATGGGCGCGGCCATGCGCTCCAGGCCGAAGCCCATGCCGGCACCCATGCGATCCACACCAGAACCAATGCGCTCCATGGTCTGACCCATGCGCTCGATGCTGGAGGCCATGTGGTCAAGGCCCAGTGGGCCCATGCGCTCAATGCCGGAGCCCATGCGCTCCACGGAGCCCATGCGGTCCATGACCAGGCCCATGCGCTCAATCTCGGAGCCCACACGATCCATGCCGTGGCCCAGGCCTGCGCCCATGCGCTCCATGCCGGCACCCCCGATGCGGTCAATGCCAGGGCCCATCCTCTCGATCCCAGGGACGCTGCCTCCACCTCCACCTGCAACAAGGGCCACAAATTACAGGTAAGGTGTCGGGGGGTCACCATGCAAGGATCTAGTCCCACAGCCCTTTAAGGCTGGCACAAGGGCTATCATGGGGGGGGGGAGGGCGTCCTGACAGAACTCTTCCTACTGCTGAACCACAGCTACAATCTTCCATGACAAAATGAAGCCACCAGGAAACCCCATCCCCCCCATTGGGGAACCCAGGCTGACAGGGCCTCCTAGGTCCTAGGTCCAAGACTGGCACCTGTGACAAGCCTGACGTGCGAGCCCCAGAAGTGGACTCCTGAAAGCTCTGCCCTTTCGCACCGCCACCGTCCACAACTGCTCTCAAGAGGTGGGACAGAGGGGGTGGTTCAGACGTTCCCAGTTAGTCCCTCCAATGCCCTACTGGTGGCCAGTTGGGCTGCATGTCCTCAGCACTTCCAGGGCACAGAGAAGCTACTGGACAGCCACATCCAAAGATGGTGACAGTTAACCTAGCAGTGCAGGTCCTAGTCACAGATAAACAGAGTCAGCTACTTCTAGGGACTTCCAGCTAGGGAGAGCAGCCCAATGGTACAGACACTGCTAAAGGTTCTGGGAGAGCCTGGCCTTGCTCCCACAGCTCAGGAGGGCAGGCAGGAGGCCCTCTTCTCCAAGGCCAGGGCACTGCTGCCACTGGAACTAGGGAATTCGAGCCCACAGCGTGCCAGGGCCAAACTGGTGATTCAAGGAGATGGCAGCGTTTCTGCCTGACTCGTGCCGACTAAGGTGGGTCACTCTACTTCTCTGTGCCCATGTCTTCATACCAAGTGGCTAAAAAGAAACCAAACTCTATAGGTGACAACACAGCAGAAATTCTCAGCGACCACCTATTATCTCTCACATTAAAGAAAAAAAGAGACCAAAAGAGGGCCAGAGCACGCCCCAGGGCAGAAGCAACATGACTATGTCCAGGTGCCAATGACAGCGAGAACTAGGATGCAATGGCAAGCCCTTGGAGTTCCAAGACCAGCCCAGCTGAGCTCAGAGCCACAGGGAAAACCGGGCGGAAAAATACACTCAATTCAAGAAAGTATTCACATCTTAGCAGCCTATTCAGTCAGTTATTAGAGGGAAAAAACATAGCCAGATGCTTACAGCATTCATCACTGGGCAGCGGTATTTCTGGTCTCTTATTTTCATCACAATTTTCTAAATTATGTGCATTTAAAATACATGCATATTTTAGTATGTACTTGTTAATGTACTTTTGCTTTTACGTTACTGGTAAGTGCCGCTGAGTCAGTTCTGATCCACAGCAATCCTGTATAGGGTTTCTGAGGAGCAGCTAGAGTTTAAACTGCCAACCTTGTGGTTCACTGTCCAATGCTGATCCTCCAGCACCACATGGGGAGTCCTTTTATAA